AGAAGGTGCACTCTGAGCATCAGCGGGCCGCTGACTGACCGAGAGGAGGCCCTGCCCCTGGTCCCTGAGTGGCCCATCCTCATGTTGGGCTCTAAATCCTTGCAGTTTGATTGGTCCAAAAAGCACCGTGCTGATTGGTCAGAATGGAGCGGCTCTGATTGTCAGTGAAAACGCTGTATAGCTGCACAGCTCTGATTGGCAGGGAAAGTCTCAGTCCTCTTGGTCAAAACACTGTTCCAGGAGCTCCTTCCTAAGGCTGGCTGCAGTGGCCGGTCACAGCTCTGGTCAGCGCAGGCTTCTCCCTAGAGCCGGCTTGCAGGAGAGCCCCTGTTTAGAAATGGCTGCTAAGAGCCAGCTGTCTTTGCTTTTCGTTTTTGAGTTTGAGCCCAGGTAACCCCCAGGTGTCCTCAGTCTTCCTTCTCAGGATCCGCAGCACTTTCAGAGAACTTAACAAACGCTACTTCTTTGGTCCTCACGTGGGCTCTGAGAGAAAGGACGTGTATGTTCCGTCAGCAAGCACATTTGGAGCAGGTGCCGACCGCACACCGGGCACCGTGTGGACATGGCTGGTGCTCCAAGGACGACCGAGACACCGTCCTCAGCAGGTGTCGAGTCTCGGAGAGAAAGTGACGACAGACTCAGGAGCCAAGGGACTTGTTCTGAGAGTTCCTCAAAGTCGCCGTCCTGAATAGGGCATCATTTGGACCACTCGTTAAAGTAAAAATAGAGTCCACGCCACAGGCCTGCTGAATTGGGTCCTGGGGTTGGAGCCTTGAGCGAGTCGTACACTGCCCTACAGCTAGTAAGTGGCCCAGTTGAGAGGGGAGCCTTTCCTGGCCACATGGCCAGAGACGTCCCCTCTGTCTGCCCCTAGTTTTGCAGATGAGAGGACCGACGTGAGTGGCAGTCGAGGCCCACAGTGAATTAGAGGCAGGACCGGGATTTGCACCCAAATTTCCCCGATGCCCAAATCCAACCCTTTTCTGCACCGTCTGGAGTGTTAACTTTGCACTGTGGTTCTGATCAAAACTGCTTTTACTTGATTGTGTCCTTTTTTCTCTAAACGTCTTCAATTATATAAGCTCTTAGGGAGCATCTGTGCCCTGTTTTTGTCAGCAGGGACTGTCTGAGGACAGGCCTGTCCCCTTCACTGTAGGGATGCAGAGGCCAGGAGGCTGCATCTGCCAGCCTCAGACCGTAAGGGAGGTCTGCCCGGAGGCCAGCTCCTTCGACAGTTAGGGTGCCAGGAGGCTGCTTAAAGCGCCACCCTGGCAGATAAGGGAGACCAGCCCCTGTGGCCGGTCAGGGTTCAGTGAGCGTGGACTTTGTCTGAGCTCAGGGCTGGCAGGGCGCGCCCTCCTGCTTCCGTGCTGCTCCTGGCGTCGGGGAGGGGCTCCGGCGTCGTGCGGAGACTGCGTCAGCCTCCTGCGGCGTGTTTTTCATCTGCACTCTGTCTGCCCGCCTGTCATACGTGTTACGTATGTATGTGTACGTACACTGCATGCGTAGCCTGTATATCGTATGTGTATATCGTGTCGTGTGCATTGCATGTATGTGCGTGCGACGTGTATATTGTGTGTGTGCGTACCGTGGGCATGCGCGTGTGTGTATAAGAAAAAGAACAGGAAAGTCTAACAAAGACCAGTTGGATCCACATGAGGCCACAGGGCACATGCTTTCTGTTGGCAGTACAGACCTTGTGTCAGGCCAAGTTCATGCCCGCCCTAACTCCACTTAACCTCTGTTCACTCGCCAGAAAACAGATGCCCGGCCAGGCGTTCAGAGTGACCAGTGAGGTGACGTACGTCAAACGCCCAGTGCAGGGCCTGGCGGGTAGTGGGAACTTAACTGTCGTTATCAGAACAAGGATGTTCCAGGCCTGTTCCTCATCTGTGTGTTTGTGGGGGGTGGGGCGAGGACAAGCCACCGGGAACCTCCCGTCCAGGGGGCTGACACCACCCAGCTCCAGCCCATAGCCACACATGAGACTCAGCCCAGTGGTGCCAGAACTTTGCCTTTTCAAGAGAACCCAGAAACTTGTCTTTTTAATGTGATTGCCTGCTTTTCAGATTTTAACAACTAATTTTTTAAGACGCACGCACACCCACTGTGGACCAGCAGAAAGCCTGTGTAGGCTGGTTCCCAGTTTTCACCTTTGCTGCCTGGAATGTCACCCGACATTGCCTTGCGTGTCATGTGCCTGCCGGGCCGGGACCAGGAGGGTGCTTCCGGCACGTGTTTGCAGAGGGCCGGCTCATGCCCGGCACTGCCCAAGGGCATGTGAGAGGTGCCCCTGGAGCCTCGCCCTGCAGCAGGGCTGGGCCTGACTTGCCAGAAGACGGCATGTGGGAGGCAGGGCACGGGAAGTGGAAGACGCCGTGACTGACCCGGAGTCATGAGGACACAGGAAGTGGAAGGTGCAGGGTATGAAGGTGTGAGGAAGACAGGAGAACAGAGGACACGTACTGGTTCGTTTTGCAGAAGAAGCAGTGGAAACCGGAACAGGCGAAGGGGTCACACTTGCAAAATTTCATTCGGGGTATTCGGCTATGTCAATTCAAAACGTTTCAAATAAGCCTGGGAAAAGCAAACGCTAAAAAGTGCAACTATAAAGAGAAACCTAAGTGCATTTCAAGTTGGTAACTTGGAGAATTAATTCAGAGTGACTTTCAGAGACAGTACTGACCTCACCTGTCATGGGACACAGCCTGGGGACACTGTGAACTTTGCTTAGTCTGTCCTTGTCAGCGTCTTGGTGCGGTGCCCCCGGAAGTGACCCAGCGCGTGTCTTGCCCTGTGGGATCAGGGTTCCAGCCATGGGGAACAGAGGGTGCCCACGGGCTTGGGGAGGACGAGGCTTCGGCGTGAGTGAGTCTCATCCACGTTTCCCGCCCTGTCCGTTGGCCTAGACGCCATGACAGCACAGCCGCAGTGAGCACCTGGCAGCCCGGACTACTTAGAGGGACCAGGGCCCCTGGAGAACTGGCTGGTTCCAGGTCTGGCGGAGGGAACGGGCACGGTGAGCTTGGCGCCTCTTGGTGCCCGAAAGCAAGGACACACGCCAAGGCAGACGGTGACACCGTCAGCGCACAGGAGCCGGCCCGCGGAAGCCCCACACGCCAGCCTGGCTCAGCTCCGTGTGCTTTAGAAAGTGGTAATGGAGGACGACATGTGCATAGCACAGTCCCAGGGTCCCTGGACGAGAACAGAGCCCTCGCTGTGTCCGGCCCCGGGCCACCATCCCCACCACCCTGCCCTCACGGGGCCCACAGCCCCGCGGACGGCCTGCAGACACAGAACGCGCGGGTCCATTGGTGCTGGTGCTGGCAGCCACGGCGGACGTGGGACAGGGCTGACAGCACCGGCCACCCGTCTACACCTGGCTGGTGTCCTCGCCCGGGGACAGTAGGGAGCTCTAGGCCTCCAGCCGCATGTGGCGGGTAGGTCAGTGTCTCACTCCGCCTGTCCTCCTGCCCCGTGGCGGTTTCGGCCCCGTGCAACGCTCCATGGGGTCCCCCTTGGACCCACCGGCTGAGCGTCTCCTCCGGCTTGCTTGTTTTGTTCCCTCTCCCTCCTCTCCTGGCCCCGTGCGACGCCCCATGGAGTCCCCCTTGGACCCGCCGGTTGAGCGTCTCCTCCGGCTTGCTTGTTCCCTATCCCCCCTCTCCTGGCCCCACGCTCGCTCTCTCCTCGGCGTCCTTCCTCTGATCCAAAAATCAGCCGGTAAAGAGCAGTCTCACCTGTCCAGGTAAGAGGGGCGCCAGAGCGAGGGGGAAGAAGACCCCCCGCTTTTAAATTGAACGATTGTTGTATTTATTACCTGGATAGATAGCACCTTCCCGTGAGTCAGAGCTTAGGAGGTGCAAACGAAAACAGTGGCGTTTCCAGCCCCGCGCCCCAGGCTTGCCTGCCTTCCCCGGAGGCCGCGCCGTCCCGGCCTCCACGAGCGAGCGGACGCGTCAGCACGGAGCACACAGCCGCCCCTCCTGTCCTTTGGCCTCGGCCACGCCGCCTGACCTGGCCTCTCACGTCCTGGCGGCCCGGCCGCCCTCCCGCTCTGGCTCAGGCCGGTGTCATCACGTTGACACGCCCTGGGGCCTGTCCCCATCGTCACCCACCGCCCTGTCTAGCGTTCATGCGGCAGGGGCTGCTTCCGTGGCGGCAGTCCACATAGCGCTCACTCCCGACGTGGCCAGGATAGGCGTGGGGACAGCGGTTCGTACTGGCGGTAGGGACGACAGGTCTTCCCGTCCCTGCGGGGCCCGCTGCAGGGAACGGGCGGTGGTCTGATGTGCTCTGCGCTCCCTGAGGAGCTGGGGTCCCAGTCGTTTCTGAGAAGGGGCCGCAGGCTGACTGCAGGGGTGGGGGTGGGGGTGTGGAACGTCGCCACGGAACAGCAGGTCCCCGTCACCCGTGCCGCTGCAGATCGGCAGACTTCTCGGGGACGTGTGTCCCAACTTTCTGGGAAAGTGCACGTTGCCAGTTCCCCACGGGTTGGTGCCAAGTGCTCGTGACGCTCCTCGACACTGGAGGGGTGAAGAGATGGCACTGAGGGGGGCTCCAGCCGCCGCGTCTCCTGTGCGTCCAGACTCCCCGCGGGCTTGCCCGCCAGTCCCCTTCCCGTGTGAACCGGTGCCTCGAGCTAAGCGGCTCTCTCTTCTTTCTGCCTTTTCTGGCGTTCATCTTCCCTGCTGCTCCGTCTGCTCCGCCAGCCCCGTCGCAGCCTGGTTTAAGGCCCAACGCGCGCGCATCTCGTCCTCTCTTGTCTCTGTCTTGACTCCTGAAGGGCTGTGTGTCCATCCCCCCCGCCCACCCCTGCGCCTTGCTGAGCGTTAGAGATCATGCCGGCCAGCCCAGGGTTCTGGGTGGCGTTGCCCGTGGTGTAGACACAGCTGTTCTCCCACCAGATCGAGTGGGTGACGTGGGGGGGGGGTTGGTCCCTCGGCGCCCAGGCCGCAGGTCCCTGTGCCCCCGCTGACGTGTTCTCCGTGTCCTTCCAGGTTGAGCAGCCTGTCCTCGGGAGACTCAGCATCTGACCGCACGCGCGCCTCCCACCAGCGCCAGCCCTCGGACGCCCCTGAGACAGCAGGTAACCTCCGGGCACCCGCACGCAGGCACGGCGTGCACGCGCGCGTAATGTGTGCCTCGTATCGTCCTTGTGTCAGGTGCAGAAAGTAGAAAGTAGTCTTAGCCCTGTGTACGGGCGAGGAAGCTGAGGCACATGGGCTCAGAGACCTGCCCAGGTGCCCCCTCGTAGGGGACAGAATCAGGGCCCAGACCCACTGGGAGTTAACTCCGGAGCTCAGGGCAGCAGTCGCGCCCACTCCCACGCACGCCGAGCCCCACGCACGCCGAGCCCCATGCACACCGTCCCCCACACACACCGAGCCCCACGCACACCAAGCCCCACGCCCAGGCATGGAGACGCTGCACATCCCAGCCTTTCCTTTCATTCTGTGTTTCTGTGCAGACGTGCCTGTGAGCAGCGGCGTCCGTCGTCCTTCCCCTGTCCCCAGGTCTGGCCAGTGTGGCCAGCGTGAGGTGCTCGCTCTGCAGGGCATCAGCAAGCGCCCACTGGGCGTGATTTGACAGCTCGGGCTGCTACGTTGGGCGTTAGCCCTGCCCTTTACACCCAGACAGACCCAGAGGGGTGGGCACGTCCAGAGAGGCCCACTGCTCAGCACCGTGGGGCGACACCCTGCGTGGAGCAGCGTCGCCCCTGAGGGAGGCGTGGAGGCCCTGGAGCATGGAGGGACCAGCCTGGTTTTTCTGGAGGAGGGAACTCGGGGCTTCGGGGTCAGTCCTGGCTCGCCTGCCCTCGCCACCCGGCCACAGTGCCCACCTGCCCCTTTTCTCTCACCTGTGCCCAGGTCTCGTTCAGCGCTGCGTCATCATCCAGAAGGACCAGCATGGCTTCGGCTTCACGGTCAGCGGGGACCGCGTGGTCCTGGTGCAGTCTGTGCGGCCTGGTGAGTCCCGTGCTCGCCGAGCCCGCCTGTGGCCTGCGCCGCATCCCAGAGGCCTGGGCAGTCCCCGGGCGTGAACGGGTCTCTCTAGAACTGGGTCCCTGAGGCTTCTGGGAGGGTCCCCACAGGGCTCAGCCACCAGGCAGAATTTCCAGGGATGACAGCGCGTTTGCTTGGCCTGCTGGGAAGCGTAAAAACAGCAACATGACCTATAGGCCACTGGGCAGAGAGAAGCCTTCCCTGAAGAAGTGAGATTTCAGGAGGAGTTTGAGACGGAAATGAAACCACGTGGGGGGCAGGTGGGGGGCCCCCTCGGGAGCAATCAGCCAAGTAGGCGACTAGGCACTCCGGGGTGCGGTCTTGCAGCCAGGTGGCAGCGTCCTCCAGCGTCCTCGCTGTCAGTGACCTGGGCTGAGGAAGACGGGAGGAGATGGGAGTGGGGGAGCTTAAAGCGAGTGAGCCAGAGGGCTGGGTGGCCGCACGCGGGGTTGGGCCTGGTGACTGGAGCGCGGCGAGCCCGGCTCGGAGAAGACGGAGGAAAGGGGCGGGAGCAGGCCGGCCCTTCACACGAAGCACAGTGCCACACGGGAGGGAAAGGGCTCCTCCCGTAGCTTAGGGAAGATTTGGAATCCGTTCGTGGGAATGGCGAAAAGAGGGCGTCCAATCTGTGACCCAGAAGGGGGCGCGTGGCCTGCAGGCCCCTCGGTGATCGCGGCCGCTCTCAGGGATTTGCATGCCCACGGCAGGGCTCTGCCCTCTGCTGCCCTATCCTCACGAGGCTCCTGGGCCAGGAGAAGGATGCTGGCTGGCCGCGCTCACTGTGCTTGGCCTCTGCGGGCTCTTTGGCCCAGAGGGCCTGGGGTCCCCTCCAGGGACCCTCACCTCTCCCCCAGGCCCGAGCAGGGTCAGATCACAGAGGGCAGATCGGAAGCGTGGCTCCAGCAAACCCAAGTTTGGGGAAGTGCACGCGCGCGCGCGCGTGTGTGTGTGTGTGTGTGTCGGGGAGGAGATGTCCCTTGGATTGGCTTGGAAGTCACAGTGTGACACAGCAGTTGTTAACGTCTGCTCCTCGAAGTGCAATGTGCTCTGTCCGTGCCCATCACCCAGGGGCAGAGATGGCTGAAACCCCCCGTCCTGGCCCAGCCCGAGGGACAAAAAAAAGCAAGGGGGCCAGGGAGTAGGCTTTGTGGTGAAGCCTCGTGCTCACTGAAGTCTGGGGGCCGCTCCAGCTCCTCAGCGCTGAGGGTTGAGTGTTTTTTCATCGCTGGGTTGTTAGAGGTCACATTGTGTGTCTCGTGTGCACAGGCTCGTCACTCCCCCCCTTCAGTTCCAGGTGACAGCTGTGCCACGTGCAAGTGGCCTCCAGGCCCCACGTGGAGAAGCCAGAGTGCAGCGTAGTCATCACTGAGCTTTCTCTTGCTCCGACCAGGAACGTCGAGATGTGCGCCATAGGGGTTTGGTTTTGGTCAGATGAATGCAGCTTACAGATGTGATCATCACCTCGGGGCAGGTTTAGAAAAAGCGTGATATTTATGCTTCTCGTTAACGTGCCTCGGTGTCCGTGCTCCACGTGCTTCCTGGATGTGAACGAAACGGGGCCCTACGTCCATTAGAACCCCGTGGCACTGAGACCCCCCGGGGCCCCAGTGGGGCGCCCACCTGGGAGGCATGGGCAGGCTCTGCTCAGCGTCATGCCCACCAGAAAGGGGGAAACCGTGAATGGTCTGAAACAGCCTTGTAACGGAACGTAGAGCCGCTGCCGTGCCCGTCGTCAGTGCCGTGTGTGAGCCCCCCGGGGCCTGCGAGCCCGTTCGAAAGCTCCGGTTTTAACCCTTCCTGGGTGCTTTTCTCGGTGGTTCTTTACGCCGACAGTGACGTGTGACACAGTAGACTCATTCTTCCCACTGGGTCGTGAGAGGGACGCATTTGGCCTTGGGACACACCCAGGTGCGTCCGCGTGAAGCACACCTGCTGCTGCCGGGCCAGGTGGAGGGA